AAACTAATAGACTATTGATTTCTTGATCACTGATCATATCCATGGATGATTACAACTCAAGACCAGTTCACTGTACAATATGTTCATCAGTACACAGTCTCGATAGGAAGTTGAGTGCTGTAACTGAAATCAGGCATGTGTATCAATCTTACATCCATCTTTTATCAGGCTAATCTGATTTCCTCTGTCTATTTAATCAATGAGCTACAACAGCAATAATCATAATAACAATGACGATGGCGGCTTTGTAACAGTTGAAGCGGAAATAATGTAGATTCACTCATTAATTTATTACGATAAATGAGAAGAGTACTGGCACGATCTCCCTATCCATCATTCATACCTGGATGATTTTTATCTCACAATACAATTTTATTTCTTACTTTGTTCGGTAGAAAGGTATTTGGTTAGTGTTCAGTTGTCTGACGCTTATGGTCACTGATTAGCAAGATATATGCCCTGTTTTGATTGGACTCACACTTTCTGGTAGATGTGGATACATTTCATTTACAACAGATGTCAAGAAAGTTAATGGTCTACAATGGGCACCAGACAGTTGTCCACTAACCAAATACCTTTCTACCGAACAAAGTAAGAAATAAAATTGTATTGTGAGATAAAAATCATCCAGGTATGAATGATGGATAGGGAGATCGTGCCAGTACTCTTCTCATTTATCGTAATAAATTAATGAGTGAATCTACATTATTTCCGCTTCAACTGTTACAAAGCCGCCATCGTCATTGTTATTATGATTATTGCTGTGTAGCTCATTGATTAAATAGACAGAGGAAATCAGATTAGCCTGATAAAAGATGGATGTAAGATTGATACACATGCCTGATTTCAGTTACAGCACTCAACTTCCTATCGAGACTGTGTACTGATGAACATATTGTACAGTGAACTGGTCTTGAGTTGTAATCATCCATGGATATGATCAGTGATCAAGAAATCAATAGTCTATTAGTTTAAAATCAACTTCGTGTATTCATGTATAATAATGCATTGAGAAGTGATCAAACTGCATGAATCTGGCCCAAAATTGGAATGATAAATGGATTATCGGTAAATCAGGATATATTTCCTGTGTTATTATGCACATAGTATCGCCTTCAAACAGGATTAATAAGGCTTGCGCAAACAAGACGGCTTTTATATCTTACTAGGAGTGATCCACAAATGATTCTTTCCTGAATTTCTTGCACGCTAGTAGATTATAAATGGTAGTTAACAATATTTTGAGACACAGTCCTCTTACTGCATCTCTTCTATCATCCCACTATCATTTTCCCAGATTGATTGTAACTATTCTTTTCCCCATTAATATGTTATTGTTAAGCTTGGATAGTAAATCCTTGTTTCATTTCATTTTTATCTAAGCATTCTCTGACAAAGGGGTAGTTTGTGGGAGTACCTCTAGGATACCAAGATCATTTTCATGCACATGGAATTCATCGGAGTGTTTAATCAGAATAAAGTTGTTTATCCCTCTCTCTGGTATTCTGAAGTACTCTTTTTGTGTTGCTTTTAACCCACTCCTGGTTTATCTTAGTAGATTACTGACTCTACCAAAAATCTTATTTTTTCTCATACAACTGCATCACCATTACTTATCTGACCACAAATCACGGGACAGCGGTGAGCTATTCGTCGTTTCCTTAGAATCCTATAACACTGCGGCCATGAGTCACCTTACATAAGCGTGCTCCTTACCGACGGAGTGGTGCAAAATATCTCATGTTCAAATTAGACATACCCATTCAAAAACAAAAGTGCTCACCTTGTTGCCATAATACACTGAGGGTGTTCTGTATGAAAAACTGATTCTTATTTCCATGCTGAGCTGAAAATATGATGAAAAAGCTAATTAGTCCAGACTAACATAAGAAACATTTTCCACTTGTTCCCTCTACTAATGTCTTCCTAAGTCGGGGTTGTTTTCTTTTATCCAGTGATTTCTATTTCAATGTCAAAACTAGTGTCTACTATATGCATATATACATATACATAGAGAAAGAGAGAGAGAGAGAGAGAGAGAGAGAGAGAGAGAGAAACTTTCTTCTAAGTGTATGCGTGTGTGTCAAGAGAAATGAAGTGTACTAACAAATATAAACGACAAGCCGAAAGAGTGGTGAACCTACAAATAATCTTATCCCTTGTTCTAACTGTTCTCATTAATAGAAATTATTCCAAAAAAGACATTCATTAGTTTTCCTCTCGTCTCACTCGTTTTTTTATGATTTCTTTTCTTCAGTCGGCTTATTGTTCAGTTTCTTTTGGATGAAAACACAGCTACAGAAACACTAACATCACCAGCAGCGGAATTAAATGGATGGGTAATTTAATTTCATTTAAAAGTGGCACTTCACCTAATGTAAGGAGGAATAATAATCAAGAAGAGTTTCATTACCGAAATTGAACAGAAACAAAAGGCATAAAGAAGGCTGTTAATGCATATATATATATATATATATATATATATATATATATATATATATATATATATATATATATATATATGTATTACATCCGCGTGTTTAAACAGCTAATTGGCTAGAATGCCTCACATTTTATGAAAACGTGCGCTAATTTTGTATTGTACATAATACATGTTAAAGGGAAGACCAAAGACCGTTCAGTTGACATTTAATCTGTCCTTTATACTTTCTGCAAGTTTCGACAATGAATAAGAAGGAGTAATTTTTCAGACAAATTACACGTTGTAAACGTTTTGTCAAAATTTATTGAAGAAGCCAATTGTTTGTGAAGTGATGGAAAAGATTAGTAACTCATGTTGAGGATGAGGATAGTTTATTGTGGTGATGAAACCTCCAAGAGAAAATATGAAATCTCAAAGAATACCAAACCCTCATCATTAGTGATTTCGAATTCTGTTGACTCGGTATTCATTCTCTAAGAAACTCATAGCTTACTCCTCTTAAATCTTTGATTGATTTAGAACGCTATACATATTAAACACAATGTTAAATGTGTCCCTCAATTTGAAGATGGTCACTGCACCCATTCAGCAAGAATATTAAAGCACTATCTGTCATTTCAAACAATACCTGCCATGTATATCGCATTTAAGCGTAAGGTATTTTGAGGAGTTTTCGACTTGTCTTGCCGTGATGAAGCATGTTCATCGAAAACGGCCACCTTTTTCATATATACACGTTATGTTGGGTTCTCCGGACTGAGAATGCAACCCAACCAATATCGGTTGACTATTTGGCATTTGTAATGACTCGTAGTTATGCAGTACAAAATAGCTATTCACACAAGTATAATAAGGGCCCAGAGACTCTTACAATGTGCTTTGCAACTTTTAGGTTTGTTTCTCATGAGTGATACCCGGTAATGATCAATTAGCATATCCAGTCTAGTCTTGCGAGAGGTCACTCGCAGCCCCAATAATTTAGTGGCAATGCCTCTGATTGAAGCAGTGAATGATGCGAGTTTGAATCCCTAATCATCAACTATGAGTTCATGACTTCCTGCTAACTCTACCATCTAACATCAGAGTGGCGAATTGCTTATCCGCTATCACAGGTAGCGACCTTCAGCATAAATACAACCTAGTTGTTATACGTGAGGATTAATTCGATTGTTGATTTTCGGGGATTAGTTGGTTTCAGGTTAGTTTTCATCACGGACAGACATAAGCTTGTGAACCACTGAAAACTTGGGTGTTCTGAAAGAATGGATTAAATTGCGGCTATATCATGTATGGAAAACATCTACTTGCCTTATAGCAACTAAATGTAGCGAGAAGTGATCCATTTTGTCATTGTTCAGCTTCAAGAGATTCTTTTAACGATGGAAATGGGCGAAGGCTGAAAGTGTTTGGTTACTATGCCTTCTCAACTTGATCTACATATAGTCAAACCATTGCAACTAGAACCAATGCAATGGAATCTCGAACAAGAGGCTCGTGACACCACTTCTTGTACCTGGCGCGTTGCCACTTAAGCTTAATGTGGCACTCTGGATTAAAAATATTACACTAAATGAAGAGATTAATTAAAATTATTTTCGAAACTGCTCACTTCACATACTGTTCGAGTGGAATAGTGACGACTAACGTCAGTCACGCTATATAAAGCTTACATGGCAACATGCAAAATACTGACAATGGATCATGAAAAATGGTGTGAATGACTCAGTGGCAGTGTGCTCGTTGCGAAACGTGGTGGTTCTGAGTTCAAGCCCTGTCAGCGTTATGGGAGCTCACTGCTGAAGTGTCCCATACTAGGACGAAACAGCTGTCCAGTGCTCCTAGGTTCTCCAACTAATGTCAGTCCATGATGAATGCCACCCTGAATATATATAACTTCAAGGGTTAACATGTCTTCCATCTGTGATTTATCTACAAAATTCTGTAAGCTTTCGAGCTTCACTGCAAAACACTAGGGTATGATAATGTAATTTATTGAATGGTAAAATGACTACCCACGGGTAAGACTAGATGTTAATAAGTGGGAAGTAAAAGTGGAAAACTAAGTTTGCGTTTCTGCTCAGTGTTTCATAAACATACAGATGTGTGGTATCGTGCTGGGGAAATTACTCATTAGGTTTCCTGTGATATGCGCAATGAAATAGTTTACGCCTACCACATCAGATATGTATGGTGTTGCTATTTCGTTCATGCCCACACAGATAAGCATCTCCATGCTAACTTAGATTTTAACCCACAATGTACTTTAATTCTGTTAATCAGTTTCATATAAAGAGAAACCATACCACCTGCCCCTTGTCGTTGGAGTCACAGATGTTAACAAAACCCTCATGGCTCGAAGTTATGCCATCCAATCACCTTAGAGAACTTTGATTGGCTGTTGGTTTTGCAAACCGAGTAGGACCTGAGACAAGTATTCATCAGTTAAACAGCTGTGACAAAATGTTTATGCTCGTTTCTTATTGGTTAATCTACCCACCTTTCTGTCATTGGACAATAAATAACTGGTAGTTTGTCTGTCTACATTAGTGAAGATATTAAAGCATGTAGAAAATCTTGTCGTAAAGTTCAATTAGCAAATATTTTACTGTAGATTTCGTTGATTTTCACCAAAAAAGACATATCCATTGTTTGAAACTTCTTATTCAGCTTGAAAATTGTCTCAATCAAATGAAAATAAAGGATTGCTTTCTAGTTGTAACACTCAGGTTAATGATATATGCACATGCACTTGCTAGTAAACCCCCAAATGTCAAGTTGAAAATTGATGAAGAATCACCTCTACACACAACCCTTGGAAACATTTCCTCTTATCTATTTCCAAAGTCAAAAATTACATCTGATTCAATATTTTTTACAGTAACACAAAATGGATTGATACAGCTGACAAGGAGACTTGACTTGGAATCCTTATGCCTGGAACAGTCATCATGCTGTGAACGTGGTAAACCGTGTGAATTGACTTCTAGTGTAGTTATCGAAGGTGGTAATTCAGAAGAACTTGAACTCGTTGAATTAAATGTACTAGTCCAGGATATAAACGACCATGCACCACAATTTATTTCTGGAACAAGTCAGATTGTGAAAATTTCTGAATTGGCTGAAGTTGGATCTGCGCTTAACCTCATACCAGCATCAGATGCAGATCTATCTCTTGAAAATCAAATACAAAGATATGCCATCCATGGAGTTGAACTACAGAAAACTTTTGTTTTGGACACATCCGATTTACCGAATGTTCGCCTACGTTTATTTCAACCGCTGGATTATGAGACAACTACAAACTACAGCGGTATCATTGAAGCATGTGATCGACGACAGTGTGCCCAACAAAACTTAACAATACTTGTTATTGATGCCAATGATAATAAACCCATATTTGTTCAGCGTTCATATGAAGTGACAATTCCAGAGAACTTCAGTGTCGGCCAAACAGTCCTAGTACTCAATGCAATTGATAAAGATTCTGAGCTAAATGCTCGAATGGATTTCCGAATACAAGGTGATGTAGATGTAAATTTGAAAAAAACATTTCGGTTGGATAGTCATTCAGGTCATTTAATACTTCAGTCACGTCTGGCAGCGCATCAGCGTTCTGAATACCGTTTCGCGGTCACAGTTAGCGAGGTTCTAAGCAGTCAGGGTCAACCCCTCGACTCTTCGTCCTCCAGAATACCTGTCACGTCAACAGACTCAGCAAGTGTTGTAATTACTGTTCAGGATTTAAATGATTTTAGTCCGTCGATACGAATGATTTCGCCCATGGAAGGTCAACCATTATCTGTACGTGAGAATGCTGCCCATTCACGTGTTTGTGTGCTACAGGTTACAGATAATGATCTACATGACAACGGTCGAGTCCACTGTCGTCTTATAAACAGTGCAGTGGAATCTCCTGATGCGGGTAGTTCTGTTCATTCAAACAGTACAGATTCATTTGAACTTACACAGACCGGCAGTCATTACACTCTGCTTACTTCACGACCGTTTGATGCTGAATTAGAACCACAAATAACGGTTACAATTGGATGCACAGACTATGGAGCACCACCACGTTCATCTACTCGTGATCTTGTTATACACGTTGAAGATATTAACGAGTATCCACCTGAGTTGGAACGAATTAACTATCATGCTAGTATAATGGAGAATGCTAAAGCTGGGGTAGAAGTGATACAAGTAAGCCTCTTTTCTGACTAATCTGTCTGTAGGGTTATTGACTTATTAATACTCCAGACTCAATTGATCACTTGATTTGGTAATCAGTAAATAAATAAGTGATATCTCAACTGTTTTAAAGTTAATTTTTACTTTTTATAAGGTAGGATTAGTCCACAGCTCATACATGTGTAACCCAGAATTCTCATTTTTTAGGGATATTTGAGTGTAATTGGTTGTAATGCATCCCATAAATCGGAATCAAAGCTGGAGATGTTGAGATAAATGACAATATTAATTGTGTCAGAAAGTAACAGTAATTTTGACCTCTTGTCAACAAAAATCTGAAAACTGTATTCTTTTCTTGGGGAAATTAATCTAGTTTATATCCATGAGAAAGCTTACTGACCTCCTAACTAAATTATTCACTCGTAAATGAACTTATAAAAACCAAATAATGTCATCATCATAATATCATCATTAAAAAAATATCATAGATTTATTCACTCAGTTTTTCTACTGATGATTTGTTCATTATAGTTTCACCCAATGGTTTCATTGTGTCGTGTTTACAAAAAGTAGACATCCAGACTCATTATTGACCTTCTTAACTGAAGATTAATTTCAAGCTATATTCTTGAGTAATCTTTTTTCTATCAGTCTATGAACGACTATAATAATAGTGTACTCTAATTTGTTAAGTGGTTTCGGTTTCGAAAATGCATTCTCATCAAACAGACATTTAGTCGAGTGTTCAACAATCTATTCAAACTTTTTGTTTGGTGAATGATAGCTTGCTTAACTCAACAAAGCATCTTATGTCAATTTTTTTGTTGGTGATTAGCAATGAAACCCAGGTTGAACTTTGGATCTTACTCAAAACTCATCAATTGAACACCCTTAATGTTTTAGTATTCTCACTCACTGCAGCCGACCGTCTATTACTTCAATTAGAGGTTAAAGTAAAGTGATGTAAACAATGGGAAATTCGAAACCATTTTAATCTCATCTTTACACTTTTAAGAGAAAAAGTTTATTAAAAATAAATTATATTTTATAAATCAAATAACTAATCATTTTTTGCAGACTTAACAAACTCAACTTCAATAATGAATACATTTGTTTCATACCATTGGTTCCCTTCAAATTTTTTTATCAAAGCTAGAACAACAGGTTTAGCAGAATACGATGAATTAATTGTATTTCGTCGCCTTCTCTTCAGCTGCATACTGGTTATAAGTTCAAGAGATATACATAGAGAGAAATAAAATCCACATACTTCACTTATCAAGATGATAGTCCATTGATGACATAATGAAATAATTGATACGGATTAGGGAGATTTAGATGAAATAATTTGTGATGAATAAAATTGAAGTCATCTTGTGTTCATTTTGTTAGATTGTCATTCTGTTATATGTGACCAATCAAAGTGGAATAAAAAGTTTTACGTAAGCATATATGATGAGCTTATGATGTCAACATAGGGTCAATATTTTTTGGCATTGGTTAAAGTCAAGTCAGATAGGGTTAAGTAGTAAACTGGTGGAGATGAAACAGGAATTGACTGTGAGTTTGGTTTTAAAAGGGTATGAAAATATAGAATTTTGGAAGGGATTATGCTGAATGATGAAACAAATCAATGGGTATTATGGTAGTTAGATGCTAACAACTGACTCTTTTTGGATGCATAAGTTCGGTTTGATTCTTCTGATGGCAATTTCTTTTGCGAATCTTAACAGCTCAGCATTGTTTTGTTTGTTAATTATTTTAAATCCTTTCGAGGTTTGGACGTCGTGTCCTGTGTCTATCAGATGTTTAGTAATGGAACTTTTAAGGCACTTTGGCTCCTTTAAGCCTAGCTTATTTGGAATGCGTTCATGAAATCTAGTCTTAGCCCTCCTCTCTTCCCTGACAAACTGCTACCTAAATACATCGGCACTAGTTTCTATCCTACTTATAAACACTTTTAGCTACAAGATTAGTAAACATTTGTGACAATAGGGCCTATTCCTTTTAAAAATCTATTATGTACTCATAGTTGTACTTGAAATTACGGCTAGATATGCACGAAATAACTGTTATAAATTAATCTCAGAATGTGTAAGGCGGGTGTGGGTTTGTAAACCAGGCTTTATCTTCAAGTTGGCAAAAATTCAGTGCAACACCACTGGTATTATCAAATGAAACTCATTATGATACCAATATTGTCGTTGTATCTCAAACTATCTCATTAGCAGTTTGCATTAGGTCGCTAGATAGGTGAAACGATTGACAATATAAAATATTTTAATTGTTTTGTTGTGGATTCAGGTAGGCTGGTGTGGAGTATTGATTAGCAGACACCTTAAGGCAATGGGACCTCACATACACACATGAAACATGTGATAACATACGGTGTTAAGTCAATGCAGTGATGTTCAGACAAGACAGTTAATAATTAGTTTAGCGGTTCATAATGAAATCCTTCGTGGTGCACTTACATACCTGTTTAAGCTGTCCAGTTCACTCACCTATGATGTATACTTCTTAAATCGGTATTTCATACTATGCCCTTGAGATTAGTTATAACTTGAACAGTTTCATCATCTTTATTTTTATTTCTCTGTTGTTAACAATGGGACTGTTCTGATTCTCTTGTTCGGTAGATTTAGTTTCCGATTTACGATCATGAAGAGTCTACGTATGTTGTATGACCTAACATAAAACATTCGTTGCCATTGAATGTATGCCCTAATTAACATAGATTTGTTGAGAATTTTCATGCCAGATGTGTCGTGTCACTTTATTTTCTTCTGAAATTTGACCCGAATTCACAATCAAGTTTTACTGAGTTGTTCGTAAGGCTAGGACTGATAATACTTTTCCCTTTGTTTCACGTAGAATGCAACTTAATGAAAGAGGACATGTAGGCAATTTTCCGCCTAGATGAAAATGCAGAGAAAATGAGAGAATATGAAGTTTCTAGTAGGGTCATACAAAAACAAGGCAGTTAAACTAGTCGCTTCCACTCTGTGCACCGAAAAGAAAATTCCCGATTATTTGACTTAATTAAATGTTTACTGTGGGAGGCCTGATGGGAAGAGATGAACTTTTATTTCTGCTTGTTTCTTATGCTTCTTATCCTGATAACCGAACCATATATATCTGCAAATAACAGCTTTTCAGTTTAAATTTGAAGATAATAACGCTGAATGAAAATAATTTGAATCTCAAGTCGACTTCAGATGAATAGTGAGAGACGGCTGGGTGGTTATTTATTTCTGTTCCGACGTACTTAAAGCGCATATTTTCTTTGGACTGAAACTATTGTCTTTGAGAGAGTAGAAAACAATGGCTCTGGAATATTTCTTTCGTTTCATTGTGCTTGTTTGTCACCTGGAATCGGCTTGTTATAAGTTATGACAGAGAGAGAGAGAGAGAGAGAGATATTTAGGCGATGAGAGGAAAGACTATTCATTACTCATCTATCAAAATATTTACTTTTTTGTTGACCTGCATTCTAATTCAGACCAAAATGGAAATTTAAACTGTAAAAAAACGCGCACTCAGCTATCTTGTGGACACCTGTGCAGTAGGCAGTGAACCATACCTATTGTATAAAGGTTATTGATGGTACCTGACTGCCCAAACATCGATAAGTGGAGGGGGGAGCTCGAAGTCGTGACCTACTGGTTGGTAGTCATTTCCCTAAACCACTGAGCTGCAGACCCACTATTTAAACTGTGGGTCTAAAGAACTCTCAAGGGGAACTTACTATAGTATATATATATATATATATATATATATATATATATATATATATATATATATATATATAATCAGAAGTCTCACAGTGCTGATAGTCGACTACAGTAACACAGTCACATTCACTCATTGTCTTTCTTTAAATATTGAATATTTCACCATTGTATATCTGCTTGCAGCTTGTGTGTTCATTTCTTTCTTCTAGTCCACTGAACATTTAACTCGTATCAACAACCTTTTTTTATTGTTGTGATGGCACGATATCGTGATTAGTTGTAAGTTGTTTATATATTTTACCCAGCTTTATACCAATATACTTTATAGGCTTATGTAGTTTTCCTTATATCCAATATACTTCTGAGTAGAGTAGTAATTGTATTGTTTACACATTTTGTGAAACTTGCATTTACTCACTTTGGAGGTTTATGAGGATTTATTTATTGATTTCAGGTTGGTATTCAGCAGTGACTAACATCAGTTGGAGAAATACTAAAAACCTGGGGACACTGAACAGCTGTCTCGTCCTAGTATGGGACTCCTCAGAAGTGCGCACTCATGACGTCACCAGGGATTGAACCCAGAACATTCAGGTTTCGCGGCCCAGGAGTCTCATACGAATATGAAACAGCTCCCCAGTGCTCCCAAGTTTCCAGTGTTTCTCCACCTATTGCATTTATAACAAAAGTCAGCTGTTTACATATCAAGTTACATTTTATCAGGCAGCCAAAATGCAGGACGATCTTTTGTCTCATATATTTCTGAACACCCTTTCCAAAAGCGTACCCACTGTCTTTGAACATTACATTTAATCTTCTCTGATGTAGTTTTTCGTTGCAGAGTTTTATCAGTGTTCATTAGTCCAGAGGTGTACTTTCAACCAGTGGATTGCGGGTTCGAACATCGCCCCACCTACCAAAGTTTAGGTAGCCAGATAGTATAATTAACCCTCACACAACAAGTACCGCCCACTGTCTACTGCACAAATGGGTAAAGTGTTGCTGAGTGGGTATTTTTTAGCATTCAAAACACCTATCACTTTATATCTCATCCAATTTCTTATGACATTTATGTGATACTTTACCTGTTATTTTATCTCTATGGGATATTTATATAAGACCTATAAATCTTGCAGAAAGTGAGAAGGTCCCAGGTAACTTGAAACAGAGAGGGAAAGCAGATCCAATGGACTTGCACCAAAGGTATTTAACGATAGTGGTTGAGGAATACTGGTTACAGTAACCTAGGTATTAGCTGGCACATCTCAATTAGAAGTGATCCCCTTTGACTGTCTTCAATAGTTAACTGTCCCAGTCTTTAAGAAAGAAGTAAAATGCTCTTGTGAAAGCTGCATCGTGTCTAAAATTCTGGATCCGATAATAATCAGACAATTAATTAAAGCACATCCGAGAGAACTAAATAAGTTCCAGACGTGGCTGTGTTTGCCGGGTTTTAACTCCACATCAGGTTTTGGAACATAAGCAAACTTACCAACTCCCAACACTGGCCACATTTCTTGACATGAAGGTAGCATTCAGCTCCGTAGATCGAAAAGTCTTGTAGCGGTCTCTGTCACTGAAGGAAGTGCCGAGTTAATACGTCATTTTTATAGTTTTTGCTCAATGATACCGTCTATGGCGTCGGTGAGATGCCAGATGGCATACTACATGGTTATTTCCTTGCACAGCGGTTTGCTGTCTCCTACTTTATGATTGTGAAATATCCCTATTGGAGGTTAAGCAAGTCAGAAGGCTTCATATGTTCACCTGATGT